GCTCACTGCAGCCTCGAACTCCTTGGCTCAAGCAATCTTCCTGCCTCAGCCTCCCGAGTAGCTAGGACTGCAAATGTGCACCACCACATCCGGCTCAAATTTTTTTTTTTTGTAGAGATAGGGTCTTGCTACGTTGCTCAGGCTGGTCTTGATTCCTGGCCTCCAGTGATCTTACTGCTTTAGCCACCCAAAGTGCTGGGATCACATGTGCAAATCACCACACCTGACCAACATTCATCTGGTCTAACATTCAGATTGTTCAGAATGTTACACAGCCTGGAGCCAGCTCTTGAATATTAGATAGGCTGTAACATTGAAAGAGGATGTTGGGACCAGGTAGGAGATAGAGGGGCCTCCATTTGGTTTCAGGGATGGGCTCTACAAATACAGCAAAAATGCCTAAGATCCAGTGGAAACTTAGGGTTGGACCCAATTGGACAGGTGGGTCAAATCCTAGGGTTGAGAGGACAGGTACTGTATCTAGGTGATGCAAAATGCTCCCATCCTGGGAGACAGAAGTGGGTCATTTTTAAGCTAGTGACTGGGGTGCTGTGAAAAAGATAAGGAAAAAGACAAGAAGAGGATCCCTGGAGCATCTTGTAGTCACAGAAAGTAAAGAATTGCTCAAAACCTCCACATGGATGAGAATATGTCAAAGGGATACAGGAGCCATTGTGAAAGAGCTGCTAGTGCCTAAAGTGGGAACAATTTGAGCAACAAAATAAATACACAAGCTGGGCATGGTGGTAGATGACAGTAGTCCCAGCTACTTGGGAAGTGAGGTGGGAGAATCGATTGCGTAAGCCCAGGAGGTCGAGTCTGCAATGAGCTGTGATCATGCACTGCACTCCAGCCTGGGCGACAGAGTGAGACCCTGTCTCAAATAAATAAATAAAATAAAATAACACTTGGTTTAAAAAATACATAAATACACGTGAATTCATACCATTATAAGCAAATGATTGAATAAATAAAGTGTGGGAAAGTACCAATTTTTCCTAAAGAATTCTAAATAATAAACACATACACACGCGCGCACACACACACACACTCCTTTAGGAAATGGAGTTTAATCACCCCACACCACCTCTCCTCCAATGTGGGTTAGATTTAGGGGCTCTCTTACAAAAAAACAGAGTATGGGAAAGGGAATGGATTTTACAGTGGAAAAACCAGGCAAGCACTACCCTAATCAAGTAATCAAAATGAGCATCACCAGCTGGTATCAGGTACCTCCTGATATGATATATGAGAAGGGCATGTCACCTCTGTGGTATTCTTCCCCCAAACACATAACCTCAGTCTAAGCATAAAGAAAACATCACAGTAACCCAGCTTTAGGGACATATTACAAAATACCTGTTCATATTACAAAATACCTGAAAATTTTCAGTCGTGGAAAACAAGGAAAGACTGAGAAACTGTCATAGATCAGAAGAGGCTTAGGAGGCGTGACTCATGTACAGGGTGCTACCCTCGGTTGGATCCTGGAAAGATAAAGGACTTTAGTGGCAAAACTGGTGAAATCACATGAAATCTGGAGTTTAGTTAATAGTAAATATACCAGTGTTAATCTCATAGTTTTGACAAATGTACCAAAGTTATATAAGATGTTAATGTTAGGTGAAACTAGGTGAAGAATATATGGGATACACTATCTTTGTAACTTTTCTGTAAACCTGAAATTTTTCGAAAACAAAAAAGTTTATTCAAAAAATAAACTGAAAACCTTTCCTCTTAGATCTGGAACATGACAAAGATCCCCACTTTCACTACTGTTATTCAACGTAGTACTGGAAGTCCTAGCTAGAGCAATCAGACAAGAGAAAGAAATAAAGGATATCCAAATTGGAAAGGAAGAAGTCAAGTTATCCTTATTTGAAGATGATGTGATTATTTATTTATTTATTTAATAATTATTATTAGTGTTTTTGAGACACAGTCTCGCTCTGTCGCCCAGGCTGAGGTGCAGTGGCACAATCTCGGCTCACTGCAACCTCTGCCTCCCGGGTCCAATTGATTCTCCTGCCTCGGCCTCCTGAGTAGCTGAGATTATAGGTGCATGCCACCATGCCTGGCTAATTTTTTATATATTTTTTTAGTAGAGACGGGGTTTCACCATGTTGGCCAGGCTGGTCTCGAACTCCTGACCTTGTGATACACCTGCCTCAGCCTCCCAAAGTGTTGGGATTACAGGTGTGAGCCACTGCACCCGGCAAAATCTCTACAATGAAAACTATAAAACACTGATGAGAGAAATTGAAGATGGCACAGAAAAATGGAAAGATATTCCATAATCATGGATTGGAAGAATCAATGTTAAAATGCCCATAGTACCCAAAGCAATCTACAGCTTCAATGCAATCCCTATCAAAATATCAATGACATTCTTCACAGAAATAGAAAAAAATGTCCTAAAATTTATATGGAACCACAAAAGACCTAGAATAACCACAGCTATCCTGAGCAAAAAGAACAAAACTAGAGAAATCCATTACCTAACTTCAAATTACATTACAGAGTTATGGTAACCAAAGCAGCATGGTACTGGCATAAAAACAGATACATAGACCAACGTAACAGAATAGATAACTCAAAAACAAATTCATATACCTACAGTGAACTCATTTTTGACAAAGGTGCCAAGAACATACATTGGGGAAAAGACAGTTTCTTTAATAAATGATTCTGGGAAAAGTGGATCTCTCATATGGTTTGGTTCTGTGTTGCCATCCAAATCTCATGTTGAATTACAATTCTCAATGTTGCAGGAGGGACCTGCTGGGAGGCGATTGGATAATGGGAGTAGAGTTCCCCCATTCTGTTTTCATGATAGTAAATGAGTTATCACAAGATCTTATGGTTTAAAAGTGTGTGGCACTCTCCTCTTCGTGCTTTCTCTCTTTCCTGCTGCTGTGTGAAGAAGGTGTTGGCTTCTGCTTCGCCTTCCACCATGATTATAAGTTTCCTAAGGCCTCCCAGTCATATTTCCTGTTAAGCCTGTGAAACTGTGAGTCAATTAAACCTCCTTTCTTCATAAATTACTCTCAGGTAGTGTATCCGTATGCAGAAGAATGAAACTAGACCCCTATCTCTTGCCACATACAAAAATCAAATCAAAATGGATTAGAGACTTAAATCTCAAATTATGAAACTACTGTCAGAAAACATTGGGGGAAACTCTCTAGGACAGTACCTTGGGCAAAAGTTTCTTGAGTAATTTTCTATAAGCACAGGAAACCAAAGCAAAAATGGACAAATAGGATCACATTAAGTTAAAAAGCTTTTGCACAGCAAAGGAAATAATCAACAAAGTGAAGAGACAATCCACAGAATGGGAGAAAATGTATAGAAACTACCCATATGACAAGGGATAATAACTATATATATGTATATATGGAGCTCAACTCTATAGGAATAAATCTAATAATCCAATTTAAAAATTGGCAAAAGAGTCGAATAGATGGCTGGGTGCGGTGGCTCATGTCTGTAATCCCAGTACTTTGGGAGGCTGAGGTGGGCGAATCACGAGGTCAGGAGTTCAAGAACAGCCTGGCCAACATGGTGAAACCCCGTCTCTACTAAAAATACAAAAATTAGCCGGGCATGGTGGCACGTGCGTGTAATCCCAGCTACTAGGGAGGTTAAGGCAGGAGAATTGCTTGAACCAGGACCCAGGAGGTGGAGGTTGTAGTGAGCCGAGATTGTACCATTGCACTCCAGCCTGGGCTACAGAGCAAGACTCTATCTCAAAAAAAAAAAAAGATTTGAATAGACATTTCTCAAAAGAAGACATACAAACGGCAAACAATTATATGAAAAAGTGCTCAACATCACTGATCATCAGAGAAATGCAAATCAAAACTACAATGAGATATTATCTCACTCCAATTAAAATGGCTTTTATACAAAAGACAGGCAGTAACAAATGCTGGAGAGAATGTGTAGAAAAGGGAACCCTCGTATACTGTTGGGAATGTAAATTAGTATAGCCGCTATGGAGAGCAATGCCACTGCTGGATATAAAGACAAAAGAAAGGAAATCAGTATATTGAAGAGATGTCTGCACTCCCATGTTTGTTGCAGCACTGTTCACAATAGCCAAAATTTGGAAGCAACCTAAGTGTCCACCAACAGATGAACAGGTAAAGAAAATGTGGTACATATACACAATGGAGTACTATTCACCCATAAAAAAAATAAGATTCTGTCATTTGCAACAACATGGATAGAACTTATTTCACTTATTATGTTAGGTGAAATAAGCCAGGTACAGAAAAACAATTGTTGCGTGTTCTCACTTACTTGTGGGATCTAAAAATCAAAACAGGCTGGGCGTGGTGGCTCGCCTGTAATTCCAGCACTTTGGGAGGCCAAGGCAGGTGGATCACTTGAGGTTAGAAGTTCAAGACCGGCCTGGTCAACATGGCAAAACCCCTTCTCTACTAAAAATACAAAAATTAGCTAGGTGTGGTGGCGGGCGCCTGTAATACCAGCTACTTGGGAGGCTGAGGCAGGAGAATGGCTTGAACCCGGGAGGCAGAGGTTGCAGTGAGCTGAGATTGTGCCACTGCACTCCAGCCTGGAGACAGAGTGAGACTCTAGCTCAAAAAAAAAAAAAAAAAATTACTTGACGTTATATTCTAGTTTGTGGTTTGGGACATTTAACACCATACCTGGACTTCCGGGGAGTGACTGGCTCCAGAGAAAATGCTTGTAGGGCAGAACGGGCCACTTGGGAGGCCTGCTTCTTTAAAACCTTGCCTCCATACTCCCTACTTAATGACAAGCTGTCTAGCCCAATGCTAGAAGAGTCATAAAGAAGTTCTTCCCTGAGCTTTGGCTGTCAGAGCAGAGCCTGTGGACAACTGCAGGAAGGGGCAGCAGATGGTACCCTGGGTATGGCTCAGAGAAGAGACCTAAGTAGCATGCACATTGGCTGGATGCCATCAGATTTACCTTGGGATGCCCATTGTGATGTCATATGGAGTCACAGCCTTGAGGCAGAAAACTCTTTGGCTGAGAAGAGCATGGGGTTGAGAAATGGCACCAATTTGGGGGATGGACATCCCACTGCCATCATATATCAGCCTTCTATTACTATTTGTTTTTTTTATTTGGGGGCTTTGGATGCTGTTTTCTGGGAATCGGAGCCGGAAGCAGGTGGCAGCCAAGATAAACTCAGAGGTATGTGATGTAGCCCTCCCTTGAAACGAACTGGTCCCACTCCTGAGGCCATAGAAACTGCCATACTTTGGGCCATGGGAGGAACTGGATGCAGGGAGAGGGGAGCTGAGACAGTGCCCATGAATGTCTTCCTATAGGTCACTATAAATCCTTTTTCCTTCAATTCATTTCAACAGACCTTGAGCACCTGCTATATGTGGCAGTGTAGTAGACATTGAGGGAGAATAAAAGACTATCCCCACTCTCTAGGAGCTCGAGATGAAGTGGGGGAGACGGATATACACGTAACTGAAAAGAGAATGTGATAAGAGTTAATAGAGGTATAAATGTTGCTAAAGACATGGGAGGTAGACATTATTTTGAACTAGGGGGTCTATAAAATGCCACCTGGGAGAGCTCAGGTTTGAGTGTGCTTCAGAGAAAGAGTGGGATTTTGAAGGTGGTTGGGGTGAATAGAGGAAGGCAGTGGAAACATTTCAAAAAAGAGGGAATACATTGGAAAAAAGGTGTGGGAATGGGAAGAGTATTGGATGTGTTTGAGGAGAGATGTCAGCAGTCTGGATGGAGCATAGGACTGTAGGGACTCAGAGAAAAAGTTGACACATTGTAGAGGTCACATTGTAGAGCTTTGAACGCCAGGCTGAATACTTTGCATAAATATGACTCTGTGCAGTTTGAAAGACATCAAAGATTTTAAAGCCAGATAAAAATGTGCTTAGATCTGTGCTTTGAGAAGTGCTTCTCAAACTTTAACATGCATATGAATCACCTGGCGGGTCTTGTTAAAAAGCAGATTCTGATGTAGTAAGTCTGGGGTCAGGACTGAGTTTCTACAGTTCTAACAAGCTCCCAGATGATGCTGCTGCCCTTGGACTGAGGACCACACACTAAGAGTGAGGTTTTAAATACTTCCAGTAAGCTTATATGATAGTTCTCTGGCATAGCTAGGCTATTTTCATGGTTTAGTGGGAAGAAGGGAGGAAACAAAAAAATCAGAGCGGTACGGTTAAAAAGAGAACATAGCTGGGTACAGTGGCTTATGCCTGTAATCCCAGCACTTTGGGAGGCAGAGGTGGGCAGATCACTTGAGGTCAGGAGTTCGAGACCAGCCTGGCCAGCATGGTGGAACCCCGTGTCTACTAAAAATACTAAATTAGCTGGGCGTGGTGGCATGTACCTGTAGTCTTAGCTACCAGGGAGGCTGAGGCAGGAGAAACGCTTGAACCCGGGAGGTGGAGGTGGCAGTGAGCTGAGACCACACCATTGCACTCCAGCCTGGGTGACAGAGCAATACTCTGTCTCAAAAAAAAAAAAAAAAAAAAAAAGGAAAAGAGAACATAAATTAATTCCCCAAGTATTTATCGCCCACTCCTACCCCCATTTCGACTCCTCTGTGCACTATTGATACAGCAGTAAGTGGAAAAGACAAAAACATCTGCTATCAGGGATGTGAAAGTGGAGGAGGTATTGGGGTGAATGTTTGGATGTGGAAGGTGTTGCAAGACTCCCTTACAAAGGAGGGATAAGAGACTGAGTCTATTTTTCCTGATGCAGAGTTAATTATAAACATTATCATCATTTTCTATGAGGACTATATTCATCATGGTATTTCCAGTGCCTTGTATACTGGCTGGCATATAGTAAGTACTCCGTAGTTGTTTGTGAAATGAACGAACGACTTCTTGGTTTTAACCCTGAATGACTCACAGGATGATGGTGCTTTAAACGACATAGGCAACATTAGACAGGAAATGCTGTGAATGTGGTGGAGGCAGAATATGAACTATTGTGTTGGAAGTGCTTGTAAAATTTATGTGGAGATATTCATCAAGCAGCTCAAATTAATGGCCGAGACTTGTGATGTTCAATATGGTATCCGCTAGTCATATGTGACCATTTAAATTATTTATTTTTGAGACAAGGTCTCACTGTGTCACCCAGGCTGGAGTGCAACTCACGGCTCACTGCAACCTCAACCTCCCAAGCTGAAGTGATTCTCCTACCACAGTCTTCCGATTAGCTGAGACTACCGGCCCATGCCACCATGCCTAGCTAATTTTTGTATTTTTTGGTAGAGAGAGGGTATCGCCATGGTGCCCAGCTGGTCTCAAACTCCTGGGCTCAAGTGATCCACACACCTCAGCCTTCCAAAGTCCTGGGACTACAGGCATGAGTCACCATACCCGACCTTAAGTTAATTAAAATTAAATAAAATTTAAAATTCAGTTTCTGGCTGGGCGTGGTGGCTCATGCCTATAATTCCGGCACTTTGGGAGGCCGAGGCAGGTGGATCACTTGAGGTCAGGAGTTTGAGACCAGCCTGGCAAACATGGTGAAACCCATCTCTACTAAAAATACAAAAATTAGCCGGGCGTGGTGGCGCATGCCTGTAGTCCCAGCTACTCAGGAGGCTGAGGCAGGAGAACCGCTTGAACCTGGGAGGCAGAAGTTGCTGTGAGCCGATATTGCACCACTGCACTCCAGCCTGGGCAACAGAGCAAGACTCTGTCTCCAAAAAATAAAAATAAATAAAATTCAGTTCCTCTATTGCAGTAGCTACATTTCAAGTGCTCACATGTAACTAGAGGCTCTCATACTGGATAGGACAGATGTAGAATATTTCCATCATCATAGAAAATTCTATTGGGTAGTGCCAGCCTAGACCTAGATCTTGAAGACAGATGTGGCTGGGGGTCACAAGGTCCTTTCCATTTGTTTTATCAGAAACATCTCTCAAATTCAGCAATCGAGATCTAGATCGTCTTAACTAAAACTTCATCTCTTGAAGTATTTACAGTCTTGTAACTGGTCTCCTACTTTTCCAGCCTGGAGCACAGACCTTGCCTCTACAAAACAAAAAGACAACACACAGGTTGGGCATGGTGGCTCGTGCCTGTAATCCCAGCACTTTGGGAGGCTGAGGCAGGCGGATCACCTGAGGTCAGGAGTTCGAGACCACCCTGTCTCTACTGAAAATACAGCTGGGTATGGTGGCGTGCACCTGTAGTCCCCGCTACTAGGGAGTCCCAGCTACTCCAGAGGCTCCCAGGTTCAATGGTTTGAACCTGGGAGGCGGAGATTGCAGTGAGCCAAGATCGTCCCACTGCACTGCACTCCAGCCTGGATGACAGAGCAAGACACTGTCTCAAAACAAACAAACAAACAAACAAAGACAACACACACAAAACCCCCAAAGCTAATTGTGTCACTCTGCTAAAGGTAACTAAGCACACAAAATTTCTGTGTACTCTATTGCCTGCAGCAGCATTTCCAAAACTTTTTTGACTCTCAAACTTCTTTCATTCTCATAATTTTGTCAACCTCCTTAGGAACTTAAAAAGCATTTTGTCCATTTTTCATGAGTTATTTAAATAAATTTTATTTTAAAACAATATCTTTTTATAATTGCGAAGTTATTTTTAACATCATCTTTAAGAGTAAAAGATGTATGTCTACTTTTTCTTCTGTAACAAGTGATGCATGACATTTAATTGATTTTATATTAGGTATGAGAATTTTCACAACAATTGGGTATGAGAAATGGCAAGGGCTTTTTTCTTTCTTTCTTTTTTTTTTGTCTATATCAAATATAATCTGGCTTAAGTCTCGCTTTAACTAGGTTGGCAAAAAAAAAAAAAAAAAAAAGTCCAGTATCATTTTTCCTCTCCAACCTTTGTGTTGTGTAAGAACTCCAGAGTGTCTGCAGTTTATCCAGAGTAGAAGTGAGTCAGGCCCTTAAGCCACAGGGATAGCTCTTGCTTTTCTTCTTAGCCATCTCAAGTCAAAAAACTGTGTCTCAACCCCTCTCTGCCGGTCTCAGGGGTCTTTGTTAAGGTCCCTAAACTGCTGCACCTGGGCTCTTAACACCAGAAGGGCTCCGGGACCCCCTACTGAGGGTCCTCCTGTCTACTGCACCTGCGGCTTCAGCATTGTTTCCATTTCAAGAGGCCAGCTTTCCTCCTGTCTCAACCCTCTGGCACATTTCAATTTAAAATGTTCGCAGATCTAGACTTATTTGACGGTTGTGTTTTAGGTTCCTGACAATTTTTTAAGTCCTGAAAAACTAAGTCCCTGCTGTGCATTAGGAGTTCTAAAACCCTATGAACAAAGGCCTGGCTACCTTCTTTGGTATGGGAAAACATGAATCTACTTCCTTTCTCAGAAAGACGCAGCAATAAAAATACAGTGTAAATTACTCAGGAAGTCATTCTGCTTCATAAAACAACCAATACAATTTCTTACTACATATTTATGTAATAAAGAGCTTTTTTGTTAACAAATACATTTTAATTAAGGTACAATTGAATACCATAAAATGCACAGATATCAAGTGTATAGGGTGATGAGTTTTGATAAATTTATATACCTATGTAACTAAAGCCCTAATAAAGATAAGGCATAGCCATAAACCCTGAATAGTTCCCTCATGTTAGTTTCTAGTCTCTGCCCTCCTCTCTGCTCAGACACAACCTCTATTCTGATTTCTATTGTCATGGATTAGTTTTGCCTATTCTTGAACCTTGCAAAAAATAGAATCATACAGTATATATTCTTGTGTATCTGACTTCTTTTGCTAAGCATTATGTGTTTGAGATTCATGTTGTTGGCAACAATTTTTTTTTTTTTGTCTGAGACGGAGTCTTGCTCTGTCACCCAGGCTGGAGTACGGTGGTGCAATCCTGGTTCGCTGCAGCCTCTGCTTCCCAGATTCAAGCGATTCTCCTGGCTCAGCCTACCAAGTAGCTGGGATTACAGGTGTGTGCCACCATGCCCGGCTAACTTCTGTATTTTTTTTTTTTTTTGAGACGGAGTCTCGCTCTGTCTCTCAGGCCGGAGTACAGTGGCATGATCTCGGCTCACTGCAAGCTCCGTCGCCTCCTGGGTTCACGCCATTCTCCTACCTCAGCCTCCCAAGTAGCTGGGACTACAGGTGCCTGCGACCACGCCTGGCTAATTTTTTTGTATTTTTAGTAGAGACGGGGTTTCACCGTGTTCGCCAG